TGGACTCTTGTCCCCTTCTGTCCACCCCAATGGCTACTACCTTAGTCAAGGCCACCACCATGTTTCGTTTTTTAATCACATTGTCCGCTTTTTGCTATTGAGTTGTATGAGTCTATATATTTTGGATATTAATCCTTGTCAGATAAATGGTTTACAAATATTTTCTCCCATTTGGTAGGTTGTCTTTGTGTTGGTTTCTTTTGCTGTGCAGAAGCGTTTTAGTATTATGTAGCCCCATTTACTTATTTTTGCTTTCGTTGCCTTTGCTTTTAGTATCAGATCCAAAAATATCATTGCTAAGACTCACGATAAAGGAGCTTACCTATTGCCCATGTTTTCTTTTAGGAGTTTTATGGTTTTAAGTCTTACGTTCAAATATTTAATCTATTTTGAGTTAATTTTAATCTATGTGTAAGATAGTGGTCCAGTTTTTGTTTGTTTTTTGCATGTGCCTGTCCAGTTTTCCCAACTCCATTTATTGACGAAACTGTTCTTTCCCCATTGTATACTCTTGGCTCCGTTGTTGTAAATTAGTTGACCATATATGCATGGGTTTATTTCTGAGCTCTCTATTCTGTCCTACTGACCTATGTGTCTGTTTTTAAGCCAATACCGTACTGTTTGGATTACTATAGCTTGTAATATAGTTTGACATCAGGAAGCATGATGCCTCCAGCTTTGCTCTTCTTTCTCAAAATTCCTTTGGCTATTGTACTTGATTTATGCCTCATTCACAGTAGTAGTGCCAGGTGGGAAATAGACGGTGATGTTCACTCATAACTTGGCAGCTCAGTTTGTATGTGTGAATATTTGGGGCACAGATAAAGAAGGGATAAAACAAAATAGGATGATTAGGATAAGGGGCCTGGCATGGTTCTGTGCCACGCCCGCACAGCCAGGTTCGGTGAGCCTGAGAGGGGGCGGTGAAGGATTAAGAAAAGACAAACAAGAGAAGAAAGCTGGGCCTGGGTAGGACGCTGTCCTCTCTGATGGAGAGACACAGTGCCACGGCCTGCAAGCCGAGTCGTTATTTTATAGCCAGATTCCATGATGCAAAGTAAGGGCATTGTCAAGATGGTTACAATGATCTCCTGGGTTTCCAATCTACTCAATTACATGCACCTGATCAAGTTTTGTTTACTTTCTGCACCTCCCACAGCTTATATCACTTAGCCACATGGGACCACAGTTTCGGGCCATAACCTGTGCAAACACTGTAGCCGCTATCCACAACTCCCTCTTTTTTTTTTCTGTTTTTAAACACTTTCATTTACATCATCAAAAGCTGTAGGTAAATATGCAGCATAACCAAAACATCAAGAACAAAACTCTGGCTATTAACGAAACAACAAACACAGTAATGTTAATGTAATACAGCAACAAGAGAGAACAGAACTCTGGCTATTAACAAAATAGTAACAAAACAATGCCAATGCAACACAGCAATAGAGAAATCAAACTACAGACATGTTAAAGTTTCTTTTGCTGCTGGTAGATATCTACTCAGAGTCCTCAGATTTGGCTGCGCAAAGACTTTACAGAACACTGGCAGCTTACCAACGCTAGCATAGCCAGAAACATGGTTGAGGGAGTAGCTTCCACTCCTTGCTTTTCTACCATCTGCTGCTGACTTCTTCAGCTGACCCCATGTTGGTACCTCGGTCCCTTGCATAGAACACAGTAATGTTAATGTAATACAGCAACAAGAGAGAACAAAACTCTGGCTATTAATAAAATAACAAAACAATGCCAATGAAATACAGCAATAAGAGAAACCAAACTACAGATATGTTAACATTTTCAGAATGATTTCTACAAAATAAAAGTTTCTTTTGCTGCTGGAGTATATCTTACGGAGAGTCCTCAGATTTGGCTGCACAAGACTTTACAGAAAACTGGCAGCTTACCAACACTAGCATAGCCAGAAACATGGTTGAGGGAGTAGCTTCCACTCCTTGCTTTTCTACCATCTGCTGCTAACTTCTTCAGCTGACCCCATGTTGGTACCTCGGTCCCTTGCATAGATCTTCTTCTGCATCGCAACTCTCAGTCTTTTGAACGGAGGGACAAGGAGCTTCTCTGGGTCCCCTGCACCTCCTCCAGCTGCCGCTGCTGCTTCTCCGTCTCCTCCATGAGGAGGCCCCACAGCTGCCGCAGGTCGGCGAGCCTCTCGGGATGGCCTCGGCATTCAGGCTGCTGACCATGCTCTGGCTCCTCTCAGAGATGCCGTCGCCCCTGGATTCTGAGGATCAGGCTGCTTGGACGGTTGGCTTTGGGACTGAGCCGGCACCAGTCCCAGTCAGCCCCGTCGGCGCCGGTGGAAGTCTGGTCCCTTCCTCAGCTTCTTCAGCCGCTGCTGCGTGGAGTCCTCTCCCGCAAGCGAGCAGCCCTCGGTCCTGCAGAGCTGGAGACCTCCAACTCCGAGTCTGGCGTCCCACACAGACCCAAAGTTCCAGGGAGCTATCAGGTCATCGAACAGTCAAAACTCATATTGAGGTCGGCAACCACCGACCACAGCAGACAGTCCTTAACAAAATAAAATGCCCTGGCCTGGCTCTAAGCATCCCGCTGACCAGGACTTCCATCCTTTGCTTTACAGTTCCTAACAAAACTTAAAGTTAAATTGCTTACAAAGCATTGTTTTAGGGATCCCCTTCCTGAGATCCTGAATTTCCCATGTTTTACACCCAGCGACTACCAAACCTCGCTCCCTACCCTACTTTCACTTTCTGCACGTGCCTCAAGGGAGCCTCCTTTCACCTTGCAATTTTAGTTCCCCCGAACTCAGGCCCCACGTTGGGCACCATATGTGCCGCGCCGGCACGGCCATGGGCGAACCTGAACTCAGGCCCCTGTTCCCCATACTCAGCCCCACGTTGGGCTCTGTATGTGCCACGCCAGCACAGCCAGGTTCGGGGGGCAATGAAGGATTAAGAAAGGACAGACAAGAGAAGAAAGCTGGGTCTGGGTGGGACGCTGCCCTCTCTGATGGAGAGAGACAGTGCCATGGCCTGCACCTGTAAGCCGAGTCTTTAGCAAAGTGAGGGTGTGATCAAGATGGTTATAACGTTCTCCTGCGTTTGGAATCTACTCAATTACATGCACCTGATCAAGCTTTGTTTACTTGCTGCATCTCCCGCAACCTATATCACTTAGCCACGTGGGACCACAGGTTCAGACCATAACCTGTCCAAACACTGTATCTGCTCACCACATGGTTCCATCTACTAAAGCAGTGGTTCTCAACCTTCCTAATGCCACGACCCTTTAATACAGTTCCTCATGTTGTAGTGACCCCCAACCATAAAATTATTTTCGTTGCTACTTCATAACTGTAATTTTGCTACTGTTATGAATCGTAATGTAAATATCTGATATGCAGGATATATTTTCATGGTTACAAATGGAACATAATTAAAGCATAGTGATTAACCACAAAAGCAATATGTAATTATATATGTGTTTTCCGATGGTCTTAGACGACCCCTGTGAAAGGGTCATTCGCCCCCCCAAAGGGGTTGCAACCCACAAGTTGGCGACCCACAGGTTGAGAACCGCTGTACTAAAGGATGATGGACAGGCTCCATGACATTGATCACTTGACCCTAGTCAGCAAGTGGCAGGTACATGCAGGGGGGTTGATAGTCCCCAAAGATCCACTCACTGGCTTGAAGAACCTTGTGCTCTTGTACATGCCCAATACTGAGTGCCGCTGTCTATTTGCTCATACTGAGCAAATAGACAGCGGCACTCACATGCCCAGTTTCCGCTCTGTGTCTGAACCCTAGAATCACTGGAGCACAAAGGTCAATTACCCACCTCATGGTCTCCAGGCAATAGGGTGACCAGCCATTCCAGTTGCCCAGGGCTGAGGGTTTCTTAGGATACGGCACTTTCATACCCAGCTGGTCACCACGATAAGGCAGGCAAGTGAGACACCTGTTACAGCTCATTTCCAATGCCTCCTCTCCCAGGAAGCCTTGCCTGTCCTCCTTCGCTAGGACAATCTTCCCCTCCATTGACCGTCGTTTGTGCCTGTCCATGCCTGAACTCCACATTCATCTCTACTCCAGGATTTGAGTGAATGAGGCAAGAGTTTGAGGACATCTTGTTGTTGTGTGCCCTGTGTGCACCAGCTGAGGAGCAGAGTGGGCAGCGGCAGCAGGCTGGGTGACCTGCTTGGGGCTCTGCTATTCAGCTCCTTTTCACAGCTATCGAGTGAATGTCTGCAAAGCTGGCTCAGATATCACTCTTTGAAACATTTAATTACATATAACGATCTTGAAGGCTGTCTGTCACCTCGCAGGGAAACATTTCTTTTTCCTGTTCCTTGTGAAGTTGGCTGCCTGAAAAGTAATGAAATTGAACTGAAGATGAAGCAACCAGGGGTGTAGGCAGTATTGATCGGGAAAAGCAGCAGGAGAGAGAGATGGGAGGGGTGACTGAAAGATGGAGCCAGGGGAGGGGCAGAAAGTTAGAAGACATGTTCATAGAAGGTGAGGTGCAAGAGGTGAGAAAACTAATGAGTCTCGGAACGAGAGGGAAAGGTAGAGAGATGGGAACAGGCCTGGGGAGGTCCCCCAGAGGAGGAGGGCCACAGAGAAGAGGAGTGGCAGACCCTAAAAAAAGGGCCTGGCGGAGAGGAACAGAGACCGCCAGCGAGACGAGTTTAGCAAAGGCAGAGGGAGGTCCCCCGCAGGCAGTTCCAGAAGGTCGATACAGGGGAGGGGCTTCTGGGGCATTGGTTGGAACGGGCTGGTCGGGACTGGGAGAAGCGTTGAAGAAGTCAACTTCTTAGCCTGTGTGACTGATTATTCTGCTGGCTTGGGGAAGAGCTGATGGAGGCTAGGAGGTGCCAAAGCTTCCACCAGATACCCCCTCGCTGCCGCCTATTGGGGAAGAGGGAAGCAGAGATGGAAGGCCGCTTCGGCTTAGTTCCCCGGCCCCCATCCCAAGGAGAGTCCACCGGGGCCTCACCCTGACCCGCTCCTCTCTTGCAGGCTGCGACAGCGACCACTGGGGCCCCCATTGCAGCAACCGGTGCCAGTGCCAGAACGGCGCCCTGTGCAACCCCATCACCGGCGCCTGCGTGTGTGCCCCTGGCTTCCG